ATTTATTTATTTATTTATTTATTTATTTAAATTTCAAACAGCTTAATCTTCCACCTCTTATTCACAATCAGTTCGTGGAAGCAAGGTCTCCTCTCAATAAATGTCATTTTGGAAAATCAAATGCTCAATTTTACTTTTAACACATTTTTTATGTCAGAAATTTACTTTTGATACTTAAGTACAAAAAAATATCAGATAGGCCTACTTTAAAACTTTTAATATGTTAGAAGAGACTTTGACTTTTACTAAAGTAATTTTATGGTATGTTCTCAAGTATCACTTTGAGGTCCTTCATACACAGCTGACCATCCTGTGAAGGAAGCGTATTTCGGCTGACAGGCCTTAAAACTTTTACTAGATAATGATGAGTAAATATTACACGAGTTTGTAGCATTTAAATTTACTTAACAAACTTATTTTTTTCAGTGCATGCACCCTCAGTTTTAGCTCACAAGAGTAGAAGTTACTTAATATATTCAAGTTTATGTGCTGTCCAGAACAAGCACTTAAATATTACTGGTAAAACAATATTAGCATTTACTTTTTTTTGTACGGTAATATTGATATATAATATAATGTGTATTGTTGATTTAGTAAATTCTAGTAGTTAAGAGATTTTGATATTTTTTTGTAAAATTTAAAGGAATAATTAAATAAATGTTACTACACCCAAAAGTTTGTTTTTTAAGTGTAGACGGACCAAACCAGTAAATTGAGAGCTTTATCTTTCGACTCAACTCATTCTTCACCACGTCTGACTGAACCAACGCCCTCATTACTGAGGAGGATTATGTGATGTTTGAAAATTAAGCAAATGGACTTTTATTCTGTAGTACAACACGTTTCACCTCTCATAATTTTTTTTATTCAAACCTGGTTCATTCCAAGCTTTAAATTTCATGAGATGCTCCATTACGTGCATTCACATTAATTTCACTCTTTGTTTTCCTGGCTCACAGGAGCAGTGGTATGATAACGTGAATTAGAATAAAAACCGCGTCAATTCAATAAAACAATAACGATTTGGGAATGAACAGTTTGTAGAAAATATATTTATGCACCATCCCTGTTATTGAAAATTATTTAACGGCTATGCCATGTCTGATCTTAAAGTAACAAATTGCTTTTAGAGAATAAAACAAGTCAAATCTGTGCGGAACGTTGTATCGCCCTCCTCCAGGAATGGGTGTTTCTACCCGGATGGTGATTCCAGACGGACCAAAACAGCCTTCGGAAAAGTTGACGTGGACGGGTGTTTGTACAATGGCCGGGAATAAAGTAGAAAATTCGGCGGACAGCACCGCCTTATCGTCGAACTCGAATGTGCCTTCTCAGCCCAATAACCCGCTTTCGAGGAAGCTCAACAAAATATTAGAAACGAGGCTCGACAACGACAAGGTGAGTGCGACGAGTTCAGGTTCCTGCTAGCATGATGCTAATGTCTAAACCTATCGTTTATTAGAGCTGATAAATTCTCTGTAGTCGCAGTTAAAGCCCAATAACAAGGTAATATGTATTAGTTTAACAGTTTAAACTCATTTGCTGTTTTTCTATTGTAGACTGAGTTGATACTTGTTTTAGTTTTGGTTAATATACCTTCATGCTTTTAATTGGGGCGTTTGTATGCAAGCTAACTTGAATAACTTTGTGTTAATGTTGTTATAATGACTTCCGGTTGTGATGTTCGTGTTTCCAGGAGATGCTGGAGGCTCTGAAGGCGCTGTCAGTGTTCTTCAGTGAAAACAGTTTGCGCACCAGGAGGAATCTTCGAGGTGACATCGAAAGGCGAAGTCTCACCATCAACGAGGAGTTTGCACGAATATTTAAAGAAGTGAAAGAGGTAGTGTGAGATTTGCATTAAAATCACGTTTATTTGCCTTACGCAACACCAACTTTTTACTGTGGATCACTAAAACAATGATTACACTGTAGGTACTCATCACAATAATTTTTGTGCTTTTTTTCCTTTTAATTCAATCTGTTTCTTGGTGTTTATTTTAGACAAATTCTCCTAAATATTTACTCTTGACAGTTTATATGGTGACTCACTGTTTACAAAATGTGGCATCAGTTTAAATTATCATGAAATTTGATATAGCAAAATGTAATAAACACACTGTACAAGACGGCTGTAGTGCCTCTCAAGTTTTTGTGTTTAGTGGGGATTTCCCAATCAAGATTTTTTTTATGAGTCGAGTCATTTAAAAAGGAAGATCTGAGTCTCAATTCAATACTTGCATTATTTTGCAACTTGTTCCACGGTTGCAAACATATTTTCCAGATGTAGACATATCAGCTGAACTTTTTTTGATCATCTCACGCTTGCTGCTTCTGAGTGATGTTATGAGCTTAACGGCGTGTCAAATCTCAAAAGCAGTTGATTTAAAAACATGTCTTCTGTCTCTACGCTGCTATCTGTGCTGATGCTAACACCGCTAACAGATAAAAGTCATTTGTGTGTTTGTCAGAAAAAAGGTTTCACACAGGGAAAGTGCTCTTTATTTCTGCAAAAATAAAGTTGTGTTATCTCTGTCGCCACAAAGATTTTTCACACTGGTTTTAAAAATTTCCACTTGGCTGCTTCAGTATTTACTTCACGTCAGTGCTGTATCATGTGACTGAGAGCACTGCAGTGTAATAATAATAATAATAATAATAATAATAATAATAATAATAATAATAATAATAATAATAATAATAATACATTTTATTTGAAGGCGCCTTTCATGGCACTCAAGGACACCATACAGTTAAAATACAGTAGCCTATATAATGCAGTAAAACACAAAATGGAATAAAAACAACAATAAAAACATCAAACATAACATGATGTGAAACAGAGGCGATGAGAGATGGAGGTTAAACTGAATATGCCTGTTTGAAAAGAAGAATTTTAATCAGTGATTTAAAAAGGAAGATGGTGGGAGAGAGTTCTGGAGGTGGGGTGGTGAGTGACTCAAAGCTCGAGCTCATAGTGGTCAGACAAGCTGGAAGTTCAGTGAGTTGGATAGAGGACGAAGACCTGAGAGTGTATGAAGGTGTGTTAATGTTAATTCTGTGAAATACAGAGGGCCAAGGTTATTGGGGGCTTTGAAAGGGCGGAGCAAGATTTTATGGTAAACGTGACATTTGATTAGGGCTGTGTATTGGCAAGAATTTGGCGATACGATACATATCATGACAGAGGGGTCACGGTACGATATATCCCGATATATTTCAATACTGTAAACAAGGCGATATATTGCGATTTTTTTTGGTCCAAAAATTCTATTAAATAAAAACCTCTTAGTGGAAAAAAAAAGAAAAACCAAAATTCATTGTCTCAGAAAATTCTAATATTACATAGACATACTTTTGATACATTTAGCTGTGTTCTGCTTTGTATGTATTTTATTTTATTTGTTTCATATTTCTTATTTCATCCATGTTTTCAATTATTAGACTAAATTTGACAATAAATAGTTTGAAAATATATTTTTTGCAGCTTTTAGTTTTTAATATTAATTTACAATATGGTCACCCAACACTTAACAATAGCGTTTATGTTGTCATAAAGTTCAGTAAACAGATGATATGAAGCTGCTGCACACAGAGTTTCTGGGATCAGCTGACCTGCATCCAGAACATAATTTGTGTAACTGTGGGTCGAACAGCAGGGCAGGTCCCGAAGAAAACCAGTTAAGAAATTGAGAAGCTAAACGAGTTAAACCGTTTTTGAAGCGAACACAGCAGGCTAAAGTACATGGACTTTGATGTGATCATCAGCCGGACATTAAGAGCAACAGACAGAGTTTTATGTCACGGGGGGAGTGCCGAGCTCGCTCGAGGTGATAGACGCATGCGCTATATGCGTAACGTGAAAGCTGACTACAGTTGGAAAAAAGCACACAAGACACTTAATTTGTCTTAAAATACAGACATTCTGATACATAAGTAACTGTTTGTAACCTTACCTCAGCTTAGAAGGCAGAGGGTGTCGTTCTTTTCCGCTCAGATTCAGCTATCGGAGCATGAAGCTAATATTTGCTCACAATGCTAATGCTACCCTTACTCTCTGGCGCTCAAGCTGTGGAGGAGCCAAGTGGCTGGCTCACTGCTGCCAACTAGTGGTCAGAGGCTGAACTACAACATAAAAATGAACGGCTGGCAGGAAAGTTGACATTTTAAACCTTAATTAAAAATCGATACAGGGCTTTAGAACATCGATACAGTATCGGGAAATGAAATATCGCGATATTTCAGTGTATCGATATTTTCTTACACCCATACATTTGATAGGTAGCCAGTGAAGATGCTGGACAGGTGTTATATGACCGGTGGAAGCCGTTCTGGAAATTATGGAGTTTATGGATGGATTTTGCTGGCAAACCAAAAAGAAGGGAGTTGCAATAATCTAGACGTGATGTGACCAAAGAGTGAACCAGAAAATCAGTACTGCTTGGTGAGAGGGACGGACGGAGATGAGCGATGTTACGGCTGAATGAGTGATGTCACTGATATGAGATTTAAATAACGTGTTGTCTAGGATGAAACTCAGACTCCTAACATGAGGGATGGGGGAATCTGAGGTGCTGTCGATGAGAATAGAAAAGTTGTTGTTTTTTTTTTTGCGAGGGTTGATTTAGTTCCATTGAGAAGAAATTCTGTTTTGTGTATGATTGGATTATTTGCTAATGAAATTGATTCTGATTAATAAATCACAACCGATGCCGCTTTTTTATGGATGCTGAACGACAGTTGTATTGCAGCATAGCTGATGTAAAGCCATAGATATTTTAAGATGACTGAAAAATGCCCAGATTTTCCAGTCTGATACTTACCTGGGACATAAGTGTGTAGTGGTCTTCATGAGTTTTTATTTTCTCCGTAGGAGCTTGAAAATGTTCATGAAGACGTTCAGGCGATGAGCACTTGCTGTGAAGAAATGACCAACAGACTGAAGGTATGAGAACATTTCCTGATTGATTGTTTTTTGGATGGTTTTCACCTTCTTGAGTGTCATTTAAAAAGTCTTTTAAAACGTGTTTAAAAAATGTGTCTTATCTTCAACAGGCTGTAAAAGAGCAAACTCAAGACCTCATTGTGAAAACCAACAAGCTGCAGGGAGAAAAGTGAGTTGATTTTAAAACAGAAGAAATAAGTGTGTGTATGAATACAAACCCTGTAACATTATTCATTCATGTATTTTTCACACACCACAGTGGAATGAATCATTGGAGGAATACCCTGCAGAATAGAATTCATTTGACTTTACAGTTTTACTGTGTTCAGAATTATTTAAAAAAACATTTATAAACTCAATAAATCTTACATTTCAGGGTAAAAAAAAACAGTCTGCAGTTACAAACCTCACAGATTAACCTAAAATCTTTCAAACCTTGGTGGGTTTTTTTTCTCACTGTTTTGCATAAATTAACCCATATTAAATATACTTATTACAAAGAGAGGTTTCTACTGAACTAGTGGTGTGAGTCAACATTAGGAGTGCGGGTTCCCTCGTTTATACTTATATCATTCCATTTCTAATCAAACCACAGATTTTACCGAACACACATAGTTCATTATTTTTTAAATAATTCTTATTTAAATTATTCTAATTCTTATTTTTTACTAGAATATTTATCTCTAGAATGAGCTAAGAAACCACTACTATTTTTGTGTGACAAGGTAAACACCTGAACCAAATCCCGTTTGAAGAAAGTATAAAAATCTGGATGGCAAAAAACAGTCTTACTGTAACTTAAAAATAATTGTAATAAATAATGACTGTTGAACATGACTGATTAGTTGAAAATTGATGGAGAGCACGAAAGCTGTGATTAAAGATTTGTCATTGCACCAAAATTGCTGACCTAATAAGTTAAAACAAATGTATTGTGATGTGTATGTAACCATGTCATTTGCGTTATTTGAGGAGTGAAAACACTGCAAATATATTCTCTAAAAGACATTGGGCCTCATGCAAGAACATGTTCGTATTCTTATCCTAAATTTCTCTTACGTTTGTTCGTACAAAGGGTTCGTACGAACATGTCACATCAGATTCAACAAACTSTTCTAACTTCAGGAAAAGTGTGTAAATGAGCTGCGTAAACTGATGAATGTATCAGGCGCTCACGCACGAGGAGAGGAGATTAGCATAATCACCACCCTAAAAACAACATATAAGGCTACGTTTCCTGCCCCACATACCAGGAAATGTCCATTCATAAATGACTTCGCAAAGTAAAAAAGAAAAACTTTACGAGTTTGGAGACTGAAGTCCTGCTGTCAGAGATCCAGAAAAAAAACTGTCATTTTTAGCAGGTCAGCTGTGGAATTACAGGACCTGCTAAAGCCGAGGAATGAAATGACTGCTTTTAATGTCTCCGGTGGGTCGTACAGTCACAGAAATAAAAATCTAAATCATATTCATCTCTCTCTAGTCCTACTCCACTTTTCCTTTGGTCAATTTTTTTTAATTTAAGTGTAAACAACAATGTTACATTTATTCAGAAGAGCAGTCGCACACTTTTCCGGAAAAAAAGCCATTTTAAAAATGTCTCCAAACTTCATTTAACTTCATATTAATATTGTACTGTTATACAACAGCGTTAATAGCCAATTTAACTTAATTTAACCAATTTATGTCATTATTTTACATTATTACATTTAAAATTATAATTCCAATTCAAACAGAATAGTTAACATAATTATGGAGTGTTATTAATTTTCAACTCTAAATATCTTCAAACTAATAGGTTGAATGCCTTTAGGCATTCAACCTATTGCTTTTGTTTTTCTCT